TAGGTGCGTTCTACATGGTCTCCCTGAAAACAAGACCAAGTTGCGACAACGAGGTCAACCCACTTTTAAAGTGACTATGTTAATTATGAGATGCGTTCACTCTTTTTCTTTTAAGGCGACAAAGGATGGTAGTTGAATTTTCCCACAAGGATATGACTGGACCTTACCTTTCCATTGAATTTCACATTGCCTTGCCTTCCGAATTATATTCTCATCCAGGATGGAGTAGACTACAGTTTCGACCTCGTCTGTATCTCATCCACACCCCCAGTGGACTCGAAACTTGACGGTGCCACGTATAACCTCGACATGCCAACTAATACGCGACATTGTCACGAGTGCCTTTGGGTGACAGGGCAGATGTTGCATTTCAAGGAAGGCCAAGCCTTATTCTATATCACATTCTGCGGTGGGAGTGTTGATGAAGCAACGTTATATTTGCTATAGCAATCGGCTTATTTGCTGGTAGTCTTAAAAACATAATTATAAACGAAACAAACTATGAGATGAATTCACCCTATTTCGTTTAACAATGGATGAGAACAACCTTTGGGAAAGCGAGGCAATGTGAAATTGAATGGAAACGTCAGCTCTATTCATATCATTTTGGTAAAGTTCTACTACCAGTCATATTACTGATTTACTGGTAGTCTCGAAACTCTACTCTAATACAAAACAAACTATGCCAATTTGCAAGTGAGGCATCATCTTGGGTGCTATAAACACAAATTCTAAGTAAAATACTTTTATGAGATGTATTCACCCTATTTCGTTTAAGGTACTGAAGGACTGGTAGAAGAAGAATTTTCCCACAATGATATGAGTTGAGCTGACGTTTCCACTGAATTTCACATTGCCTTGCTTTCCCAAAAGATGCTCTCAACCAGTAGACTGCAGTTTCGACCTCGCATCGGTCTTATCAACATCCTCAGCGGGAGTCGAACTGCGACAGTTTAGGAAGGGTGCTTGACACGCTGACCACTTGGCTACACTGCCACGAGCGTCTTTTGGGTCACAGGGCAAATGTGAATTTTTAAGGAAGGCC